GGTTCTCCTTTCTTGGAGGTGTGAATTTCACAAACCTTCCTGCAGGTTTTCCCTGTCGGAAGAGTTCAGTCTGGGCAGGATTCAAAGCCCACTGAAATCAGTGGGAATCTTTCTGTGAAACTCAGAGGGTTTTGGCTCAAGCTTTTAGTTATGACAAATCAATATGATTAGTAGCAGACTCTCGCTAGCAGGTCAACAGGAGGCAACTCAAAAGAGATAAGGAAGACAATGTATTGAGAACCAATCAGTGTTGTTGGGGCATATCAATTTTTGGGTGCCATTGTTGGGACACCTTATAAGAGCCTGATTCTCTAACAGGGCTGAGCACTTCCTCTCTGAAAAACAGGCGCTGTTAAGATATGCTAAGTTGAGCCCCAAATGGTGAGTCACCCCAAATCACTAGTTGTTTTTCAAAATGCAAAGCAAGACGGTGAGCACAGATGATACAGAAATTGGAGGCTTTGGGAGTTTAGGGGAATTGGCTTAGCAGATGGCAAAATCTTTTCTAAAATAACGCAAAATAATTAATCTTAAGGTAAGTAGTCAAACTTAAGGAAACTGAACAAAAAAAGATTTGGGTTTTATTGGTGGGACAACCATTAAAACTCTCAGCCTAGGTTAGAGGTGCTGCATTAAAAGCAAAGGGTATACAACCTCCTGTGATATAGCAAAAGGTGGTAATCAGTACCATTTAAAGTACTTAAATGAAGTTCTTCTAGTGCTTCATCTGGGCTGCTGTGCAGCATCACAGAGAGGTTGTTACTACCTGAGAGAGTACCTGGAGTTGCCAGCAAAGATGCTAGCTGTCTTTATAAAGAAAATTAGGGCCACCTCTGCCCATACATGCTTATCAGCGGCTCCTGCTGCTTTTGGTGGGAGCTGCATAGAGGTAAGGGCCTGGTTCAGAAAGATTCTTAAGCATGTGCCTAGCTTTAGGCACATGCTTAAGTAATTGGCTTTATTGGGTCCTGTCTGAGGGGAGAATTTGACCCTAAGTACCGAAGCAAAATGAAGGTCATTGAACTATTCTTATTAGAAAGAAGAGAAAATTTAACTGAAGAGATATTTTCAGCTTTACAAAAGGGGACGATAAAGCTGGTAGAGTTGAAAGACTCAATTCCAGCCTTTCTTTCATAGGTGTCAATCAGAACTAACTCTTCTGAAGTCAGAGGTGTGTTATATCAGCGTACATCATTCAGGTCCATTTTCTTCTTACTGCTAAGGGGCTTCAAATATTAGGCAATAGAAACTAGGAAACAAGCCAGAATGGGAAGTAATCAGGAAACAGGCCAGATTGGGTGGTAATCACCATATGGAATATATTATCAGGGAAGGTGACTAGAACAAGGAGGATAAATACATTTAAGAGACACCTAGCCATGTTTGGAGAAGGGAGGGATTGAAGCAGAGGATGAAAAAGCAGGATACTGGAATTAAATTAATTTAAAAGAAAAGGCAGTTGCATGGGGCTGGATAAGCATTTTATGTTCTTCTGTCTTACCTTCTTATGCAATGAACTGCATATCAGCCTAGTTGACATACAACTGGAGGCTTTGCTTTAGTGTGGAAATATATCCTCTTACTCAGCATGTGCCTATGGGTATGCACACATGCACACACGCGCACGCACACTTAAGACCATTTACAGCAACTACATTCTTTTAGCCCTCCTGCTGGAAAAAAGGGTATTTGGTGACTGCTGAGCAAGGGAAAGGATGGGCAGGGGGGTCAGATGGGATAAAAAAGGATATTAAAAACACATAAGACATGCTGTGTTGCTAAACGGTAGCAGCGTGATCTATAGTCTCTGGATTAGTATTCTGTCAAAGTTCAAATCTACTCCAAATCCCAATTATCAGCCACATTTGCAAACAATGCGCTCCACTCCTCACCCCCCACACAACTAATGCCACCTTCCAGAGGCAGGCTCCCAGCACAAGGCATGGAGAGCAGAATTCTGGATGCGGCATTGTGAACACTTGACAGCAACCATCATGGATTTAGTACTGAATTACTCTCTTCCTGCAAAAACAATCTCCATGCCCCAATGTGTTGGATTCCGGGAGGGTTGCATTAATGTGTCCTGTCTGCAGACTTGAAAAATATCTCTTCATAGTGCTGCAGTGGGAGACTTATGAAATGGTTCTTAACTCCCCTTCAAGGCAACAGGCCAGGTTGCAGGCTCACTTGCTTCCCCCCCCGAATCTCAGGGATCTATGGTTGAATTGTTTAACTCTTGCCTCTGACAGAAGCAAGTTGGCGCCAAGCATTCTCTGTCTTTCTCTCTCTCTCCCTTTCCCTCGCTCCCTCTCCCCCCCCTCATGTTTCACTCTCAAATAAATTTTGTGGAAGCTTCTATGCTTAGCAAAGCATATGCAGGATAGGAGAGAGCATAAAGCATAGCCAACGTCGCAGTGCCTGTGCAGTTCTTGGCTTGAAACAGATGATGCTCTAACCCTGTGGATGCCCTGAAAGCCTGGCATGTTTAGAGAGAAAGAGATGAGAGCATCCAGCTTTTCTCTGCAAGTAATGTCTTATAATGCCCTGGGGTAGGCAGTTGCACAGTACAGAAAACCGGTTTAAAACTACACCCGAGCTGGATATTTCCTTTTTTTGCTTGTTCCACCCTATGGCAGTGAAAACTAAGACAGAAACATGAGCAGATAGTACTTACCCATGCTATTAAAATAATGGAAGGGAGGAAAAAAATCTAAAGTCCATCTGCTAGTTATTGATTATGGCCATCTGGTAAGACAACAGCTTGTTCATATCATGTCGGATCATAAACTGCCCCGAAAAGCTTTCTTTGTGTTGAGAGTTTCTTTTGCATTGGTGAGATGGGAGGGGGACAGGATATGTTGCTTCGGAAAAGTAGATGGTTGTCTGCAGACGAGACACCGCAGCATAAATAATTCTGCCTAAATAATTCTGTTTGGCACTCACAAACTGATGTTCCTCTGTGGATTCATTTTACAGTTGGTAAAACGGTTGGTAAAACGGTTGGTAAGGATTACTGTCCTCTTTTTATAAATGAGAAGACTCAGGCACTGAGGAGTTAAAATCAGTCTTGACCTTTTATTTTTGGGCTTCAATTCTTGGTGCCCCATTTGAGGCAGCTCAGCTCTGATCTGAAGTGTCTGAGGGTTTATGCACATTGACACTGTGCCAGGCTATATGAAACTTTGAGGCTATAAATCACACTCTGCCCACTTGCCACACATGCTAACTCCCAGAAATGAGAGTGTAGCCACCTTGCACTCTATAGTGGCTACACTTCCTTGTTTTCGGGAGCTGGTGTGTGCAAAACAGAAGCAAGTAGACAGAGTATGCTTCTTAGGTGCACTGCCAGACACAATATGAAGGTGGCATAAATGTGTCCTGACACAATATAACTCCAGGTGAAACCAATGGGAAGCAAGGCCTAGCGTGTCTTAGTGGGGCACTGAAAATCAGAGGCCATTTGTGGTATAATAAGTTACACAATGAATCCATAGCAGAGGCACCTTTCTTTACCTAAGTCTTTTCAAAACCTTCCTCACAGCTCCAATTGCTGCTTGAACACTGGCCCTCCTCCAAAAGCTCCTTCCCATCTTTAGACTGAGATGATCTTGCCAACATGCATCTTCTGGTCAGGAGCAGTCATGCATATATCTTCTCCCCACTGTAGATATTCCAAGCTAACACCGATGCCACCGAAGTGGTTCTGAACAAAATCCACAGCCCAGTGCTGACTCGCTTTGTTCGTATCCGGCCCCAAACCTGGCACAATGGGATTGCCCTCAGGCTTGAGCTGTATGGTTGCCGAATCACAGGTAAGAACATCCCTGTGCCTCTGCCATGCTTCTTCCGTGGGCGAGCCTCCACGGGTCAGACAGAACAAAGGCTGTTCTTTTTGCATTGCACCTCAGTTCCTCCCACCCTTAATACTGCCTTCCTTCATCTCCTTAGCAGCTGGCAGCACGGATTTCCCAATCCTGCAAAGAGGGGACACATCCAGATTGCTTGAAGGATGTACCCTTTTTTTGTTTTTTTGAAAGACAGCTATAATTATGGCAATGGCAGGGACTCTGTTCTGAAGGAGATAGTTTTAAGAGACTCAGGAGGAGTTGGAGGTGGAGAGCCAGTCATGAGAGGCAGAGGGTGATTTGTGCAGAGCTTTCAATAGCTAGGATGTTCTGAATGTCCACTGACAGGTTCTTGCAGCCGCAGATAGTTGTAATAGAGGGGATCACTGCTAGTTTAAGTGATCTGACATTTCAGTGACTAGCTGTTAAGTACCACGGGTTTGTTCCCTTGCTAGGGAAGTGCTGACACAGTGTACATAATGGATGTTAATTCCCTACCATACCCTACTCCTTTTCTCTCTGTGCAGATTCACCTTGCTCCAACATGCTGGGAATGCTTTCTGGCCTTATCTCAGACTCCCAGATCTCAGCCTCCTCCATCAGAGGGTATGAATGGTTGCCTAGTATAGCACGCCTGGTCAGCAGCCGCTCAGGATGGTTCCCGCGAATCCCCCAAGCCCAGCCAGGGGAAGAGTGGCTGCAGGTGGATCTGGGTGTCCCTAAGAGTGTGAAAGGAGTGATTATCCAAGGAGCCCGAGGAGGAGATAGCATCACCATGACTGATGCCCGATCCTTCGTGAAGAAGTTTAAAGTGTCCTACAGCCTGAATGGAAGGGACTGGGAATACATACTGGACACCAAAACAATGCAACCCAAGGTAGGGGCTACCTATTGCAGTACAACCGAATAATGTCTTCCCAGCCAGACTCCACTCTTGCTACCCACACTGGCCTAACAGTTTCCTCACTGAACTTCCTCATTCTTCACAATGGGACTGGTTAATTCCTAGAGGGAGTATAGGATGGGGTAGGATGGGGATAGAGTTGTTAGTCTCAGGCTGTCAGGAAAGCCACATTATCCTCTTCTGCTACATTATGTCCCCCATTCCTTAGCAGTGAGTGTAGTTGTAGGTCCTCTCCTGCATGGAGAAGGTGATTCCTTACATCTTCTGCATCCTCATTGAGGCTGGAAAGCTCTTACTAGAACCTCCCTTCATTCCTGGTTTGATAAGAACAAGAGGTACGTCAGGAATCTGCCCAATGGTCCTCACTCCTGAAGCCATGACAATGAAAGAACCTACCTGACAGGTTGGTGTTCTTGAGAGAAAATAAATACACACTTTAAAGAAAGATGCTTTGTCCACTGAGACAAGAGGCTGATGCAAGCCACTTGTTCCCAGCCTTTTCCATACTGCAAATTTCTTTTTCTTTACTGGAATGAACCTGGAATTTCCCTTTCCTGCCTAGGGAAAG